ATCGCTCTCTTCCTTCAGCTATTGCAGATGAAAATACAACAAAAGCAGTTATTAAACTTCATTACTGGTCACGGGTGAGGTTTGGGTATGGAGAGAAATCCCCAAAAATATCCAGCAAAGGACAGTATTAATGGCATCAATGTAACACAGTGACTCGTAAAGCTTTTTACACGTAATATGACATGGGTTCTCCTACAAATGTAAGTTGCTTTTGAAAATCTTGTGTTTTTTGTAGCAAAGTCTGACATATTATGCCATTAAAAATCTAGGATTCAGAATTTTGGGAGCTTAGACATCCTGCAGTTGCAGCTTAACGTTTCCCAACTGAAGATTCATGAAGTCTTATAATTACAAGCAAACAATGCAATTTCTCCACACAGGCTATTACTGTACAAATTAGCTGTGTGAGAAAAGGTCAAGTATCTTGGTTTGGAAATGTTTCTAATACTAAAATACTGAAACAACTACCCACTGGTACAGGGACAAACTGTGAGAAATGGAAGAGATGGGAGTACCAGATCTTCCTGACTTGGTTTGTAATCAGCATCATCTTCATCATCAGAGTCTGGAAAATTAAGGTCAGCAAACTGAGGCTTGGGTTTCTTGACTGGAGACACAGGCCAGACAAACGGGACCTACAAATCCAAAAAATGGAGACAAATTTGAAATATCTCCACAAAACAAAAACATTTACATGTTTGTCCATCACAAGTCAATCAATAGATCAAAGGTCAATTTAAACATCCGGACACATAACGGGGGATAAATAAAACAGAGGATTTTGTCATGGTCCATTTGAATAACTTGTGAGTCGAAGGACCTGTGAGAGACCTTGTGGGGACTTGTGAGGACTGATCGGAACCCGTGAGGACTCATGGGGACTTCTGAGGACTGATGGAAAACTCTAAGGTCTCATGGGGACTTGTGAAGAATGATGGGGATTTGTGGGGAATCCTGGGGACTTGTGAGGGCTGATAGGAACTTGTAAGGTCTCATGGGGACATGGAAGGACTTATGATGACTGGGCTACAGTGAACTTAAGCTTAGGTCATTTCTTGGGCATGTCCAGGATTGTCAGTGTTACAAAGCAGGAGTTAGCGTTGCATCCTATTTGGACTAATCCTTAGGATACAGGAAGAAAATCTAACACATAATTACATGTATGTACAGGAGAAATTTCAATTACCTTTCCAGATTTTTCAGAGACTTCCTTCAGCTTAGCTCTTGTCATCTTGGGCTCCTGTGTAGAATAATACCAGACACTACAGTGATAATTTTGTCATGTACATACTTGTATTAAAAATAACCTTACAAAGGAACTATAAAGTTGATTTGTTTTTCTGCAAACATATCTAGTGTGGAAAGTGTCTGGATAACCAGGCTGAAATTTGAACCCCTATCTAACAAACTATCAAGGCTAATCAGAATGAACTAAGTGCTGACTGTCTTTGGACTAACCACTTCTTCATATGCACTTTCTTCTTACAATTTGCCATATTTCTCTACTTGAAGGAAACATTTCAGACTTAAATGGAAAGATTCCATGAGGAAAGTTTTGGTAATGTGAGATTGCTAAAAGAGGGAAAAACAACTCCACTGAAGAACAATATGTTTCTTTATTGGTGTACGCCTGAAAAAAAAATGATACAGTGTTTAACCCTAACCCCCTAGGCTCCATACTGAACCTCACAAAATCTAACAAGTTCATGTACATGTCAATGTACTTGTACATGTACATGCAGGTTACTGTACCAAACCTGATAAACTCCGACAGAATGAG